GGGCGGACTCAATTTTGACCCCAGGGCTTTTATTTGAACAAACTTGGTAGACACTCACTAGAAGATGTTTCATGTTAAATATCTAAGCTCTAGCTCTTATGGTTTTTTAAAAGAAGATATTTAAAGTTTTTTCTTTCGGTTGCCATGGCAACCAGAGTTCTGCATGGAATTAAATTCTTTGAACAATTTTCAAAGGTGACCACCAAAGGAACATTCCTGTGAAGTTTGGATGAAATTGGCTTAGTGGTTTATGAGGAGATGTCATTTAAAGTAAAAGTTTACGGACGGACGCCGGACGAAAAGCGATCACAAAAGCTCACCCTGTCACATTGTGACAGGTGAGCTAAAAACAGTGTGGTTTTTGTGTTCAAAAGTTGTCTTTTTTGTTTTTGTTTTTTTTACAGATTTAAACATTATTAACCTTCAAATAGCCTGCTGGTGGCAACTCATATACATATAACTCATGCAACCAGTGCAGACTAAGTTTAGCCCTGGTACATCTGCACCACCTGAATATGGTCTGCACTATGCGCTATTTTAGTACTCATAATGAGAATTTTCCCTAAAATTGATAAACAGTTCAGTCCTGAAAATTGACCATTTATGATATTAGGCATGGTATTTTAGAGATTAAGGTGCTAATTCTATGTTGCTACCTCATGTTAAAAAAGAAATCACTGCAGAGACTTACTGACAAGATAAAATACTAGACTTCACTTTCTCTTCGTGCAGAGTGCTGTAGCAGGATCAAACCAACAACCTTAACTTTCTCATGCATATTTGATAAATTTGTATACTTATAAACTTCTTCATATAACATTCACATTATGTGTTTAATACATTTGTGTAGTTATCAGACCCCATACTACATGCATCTTATGTCAACTGATAGGGTTTAAACATTTGTCTGTTCCCTCAGCTGGGTTTCTTTAGCCTCCAAAATGGCTAAGGATGTGGTGAATCATACAATAAATCATTTGTATCAACTTGTCATTGATGTCTGCATACAGCATGTCTAATAAATTTGTATTACACCTTCTAAATTTGTGCAACAGATTTTTCCTGCTTTGAATTTGGAACAGTCCTTCAAATATAAGGCGATTTCTGATTCAATATCAAAATACAAAAAATGAGCTACTAATAGTATAGAGCTAGGTCTGACTTGCCTGGCTTAATAATGGTGGAAAAAGGTAAAATATTTTTGGTTGCAGTCTGGCCTGGCTCATAATCATTTAATGGAGGTAAAGCCAAGGCAAATTAATTTTGGTTCCAGCAGGATAAGGGTTCAATAACTAACTTCTACCCTTTATGTGTTTATATAAAAATTTAACAACAAAACTTAATGACTGTGTTATTAATCATTGATACTTACAAAAAACATAATACAGGAAATGATTTTAAACTGAATACTTGGGTGAAATACAGACAAAGTCATCAGCGTAAGATCTACATTGTCTTCCTCATATAAGCTTATTCAGTTATTATGCCACCGCAGCATCTGCGATGCGGTGGCATATAGCGATTCACCTGTGTGTGTGTTTGTTTGTGTGTGTGTGTGTTATATAGATTATATAGTGAACTTAAAAAATCTTCTTGTGAAAAACCGCTAGTCCAATTTCAACCAAACTTGGCAGGATTGAACCTTGGGTGAAGGCCTTCCAAAGTTGTTCAAAGAATTTCATTCCATGCAGAATTCTGGTTGCCATGGCAACCAAAAGGAATTATAAGAATAAATTTAAAAAATCTTCTTGTAAAGACCCAAGAGGCCTAGAGCTTAGATATTTTGCATAAGGCATTGTCTGGTAGACCTCTACCAAGATTGTTCAAATTATAGCCCTGGGGTCAAAATTGGCCCCGCCCGGGGGTCATTGATTTTCACTATATGTACATATAGTAAAAACTTAAAATACCTTCTTGTCTAAAGGTACCAGGCTTAGAGGTTTGATATTTGGTATATGATATTATCTATAAGTACTCTACCAAAGTTGTTCAAATTTTGCCTCTAGTGTCAAAATGAGCCCCACCCCGGGGGTCATCGGTTTTTCATATATGTATATAGTAAAAACTTTAAAAAATCATCTTCTCTAAATTCACAAAGGCCAGAGGTTAGATATTTTGCATGAAACATTGTGTAGTGAACCTTTAGCAAGATTGTACAAATTATAGCCCCGGGGGTCATAGGTTTTCCTCATATGTATATAGTAAAAACTTAAAAAATCATCTTCTCTAAATTGACAAAGACTAAGGTCCAAGGCTTAGAGGTTTGATATTTGGTATGTGCTATTATCTATAAGTACTCTACCAAAGTTGTTCAAATTTTGCCTTTAGTGTCAAAATTAGCCCTGCCCCGGGGGTCATAGGTTTTCCTCATATGTATATAGTAAAAACTTAAAAAATCATCTTCTCTAAATTGACAAAGACTAGAGGTTAGATATTTTGCATGAAACATTGTGTAGTGAACCTCTAGCAAGACTGAACAAATTATAGCCCTAGGGTCAAAATTGGCCCCACCCCCGGGGGTCATTGATTTTCACTATGTACATATAGTAAAAAATTAAAAAATCTTATTGTCTGAAGGTACAAGGCTTAGAGCTTAAATATTTGGTAAATGATATCATCTATAGGTGCTCTACCAAAGTTGTTCAAATTTTGCCTCTAGTGTCAAAACTAGCCCTGCCCCAGGGTCATAGGTTTGTTTTCCTTACATGTATATAGTAAAAACTTTAACACGATTGCATTTGAGAAAAATGCTATGCCACCGCATTAATACAACACTAAATAGTAGTGTAGGAACAGATTTTTTTTGTTTCTATACAATTGAAGATTGTCATAATGCATATCTAATTCTTATTATCAGATTAGTGGTTAAATCTATTGTTAACTCAATAAAAGATCAGAGTAGGAATATATCAATGCACTTGAGTCTAGTGAATTTGGTGGTGAAGGTCATATTTCACACAGCCTAAAATTTCATGACTGCATCAAAGGACAACATGTAATACACTTTGTCAAAATCAAGGTCAGCTGATATCAAAGTTCACTTTTAATTTTGACACTAGAGGCAAAATTTGAACAACTTTGGTAGAGTACCTAAAGATGATATCATTTAACAAATATTAAAGCTCTAAGCCTAGTACCTTCAGACAATAAGATTTTTTTTGATTTTTTACTATATGTATATATTGAAAAATCAATGACCCCGGGGCGGGGGCAATTTTGACCCCAGGGCTATTATTTGAACATTCTTGCTAGAGTTTCACTTCACAATGTTTCATGCAAAGTATCTAACCTCTAGCATTTGTCAATTGCTAGAAGAATTTTTTTTAAAGTTTTTACTATAAGTTTTTACTATGTAAATATGAGGAAAATCAATGACCCCCGGGGCCGGGCCGATTTTGACCCCAGGGCTATAATTTGAACAATCTGGGTAGAGGTCTATCAGACAATGCCTTATGCAAAATATCTAAGCTCTAGGCCTTTTGGGTCTTTACAAGAAGGTATTTTAAAATTTTACTGTATGTACATATAGTGAAAATCCATAACCCCCGGGGCAGGGCTGATTTTGACCCCAGGGCTATAATTTGAACAATATTGGTAGAGGTCTACCAGACAATGCCTTATGCAAAATATCTAAGCTCTAGGCCTATGGGTCTTTATAAAAAGGTATTTTAAGTTTTTACTATATGTACATATAGTGAAAATCAATGACCCCCGGGGCGGGGCCGATTTTGACCCCAGGGCTATAATTTGAACAATCTTGGTAGAGGTCTACCAGACAATGCCTTATGCAAAATATCTAAGCTCTAGGCCTTTTGGGTCTTTACAAGAAGATTTTTTAAATTTATTCTTATAATTCCTTTTTGTTGCCATGGCAACCAGATTTCTGCATGGAATTAAATTCTTTGAACAACTTTGGAAGCCCTTCACCCAAGGATCAATCCTGCCAAGTTTGGTTGAAATTGGACTAGTGGTTTTTCACAAGAAGATTTTTTAAGTTCACTATATAATCTATATAACACACACACACACAAACAAACAAACAAACACACACACACACACACACACACAGGTGAATCGCTATATGCCACCGCATCGCAGATGCTGCGGTGGCATAAAAAATCTTCTCGAATTGACAAAGGCTAGTAAACATTGTGTAGTGAACCTTTAGCAAGATTATTCAAATTAAAGCCCTGGGGTCAAAATTGGCCCCGCCCCTGGGGATCATTGATTTTCAGTCACTATGTCATAAAGAAAAAAATTAAAAATCTTATTGTCTGAAGGTACTAATCTTATAATAACAGATAGGTAAGTGATCTATGCATTATGGCAATCTGTATAGAATCAAAAAAAAATTGTGTTCCTACATTACTATTTAGTGTTGTATTTATGCGGTGGCATGGCATTTTTTACAAATGCAATCTTGTTTTTATTTATATTTTCGTGACAGAAACTGAAATAATTATGTTCCTTATTCTTAAGTTTTTGGTACAGTTTAGTTAAACTTAAAGCAAAACGCTATTAAAATTGTTACAGTCCTTTTAGATAAATGCATGTGCATGAGATATATTTGAAGACCAGTTTCTGTAAAAGGAAGTTTTCTAATCAAAATGAAAAATATTTTGAAAATAGTAATTTAATAATATATACATGTAGGTTTATGGGTAAACAGTAAAATTACCATCCCTAGTAAAATACTGTAGCACCTCCAGGGGCGTACCTGGAGGTATTTGAAGAATACGCCCATAAAAGTTGGGGGCCAGGGGGCCGCTAGGGCCCCCGGTGGGTCCAGGGCAAAGCCCTGGCCAGGGGTTCAGGGGGCGGGAGGCCCCCGAAAAAAATTGATTAAGCATCATTTTAAAAGGCTGAAATGCCATAAAATAGCTTCTCAAATGTCTTTCCCAGACTAAAACTTAATCAATATAATAAAAAAGTATTAAACGTATTACAACAAAATTACAACAAACGATTAGATTTTATTCCTTCTTCATAACTATTTACTATATATTTATTCATTCATTCTTTTTTATTATAATTTTTATGTTTTTATTTATTTATTTATTCATTTACATCTCTGTTATAATCTACACTTTAAATATCAAAGCCAGTCTTCTTTCTTTTTTAGCCGCAAAAATATCGACAATACGTTCAGCATCAAGCTTCTTTTCCTGGTAAATGTTCAGAAGTCCCAAGCCGGACAGCCTCTCAGTCGTCATGGTTGACCTGAGGTATGATTTAACTCTACGCATTGTAGAGAACGATCTCTCTGCAGTAGCGGTAGAGACCGGCACTACCATAAGAAGTGCCAAGCATTTCCTGATATTTGGATACAATGCTTCACTTGTAACTTTTAATGAATCCTTTAAGTTTTCTGGAGTCGTTTCTCGTTGGGCAGCTAGTGTTGGATCAGTCCACCACGTCCTCCACAAGACACATTCACGGAGGAATGTATCTTCGTCAACATCCAAGCATGTCTGTAGACCCCTGTATAGTTCTCGGCACTGTGATACAGGAAGACCAGACTTTGAAACCTATAAAATAATCGATAATTTCAATATTCCAATTTAAGCAAAGAATCAATTCTTTAAATGAAATAATGTTAAAAGAAGATTTCCTCGTTATATATGTAGTAGTAATGGATTCAATGAGCATTTTCATATCTGCAGTACATGTCTTAGTAATCAAGAATAAAGTTGATTTAAACATGTTTACAAATTATCATGAAAGCTACAATATAATGTGATTAAGTATTTGTCAAAATATATGTCGACATACAATTTCTCTCAGCATCACTCAGTACTGTTCACACAACGAAACATATAAAATGCCCAATTTTATACAATATTTTCTATTAAAATGCTAACTGGAGAGATACTGGGTTTTATTGGTGAATTAAAACCCACATCACCAACAGTATATCATTTACACTGTGACCGAACTTGTTTTGGTGTACGCTTCAATTTTCATGATTCCAAAAATTTTGTAAATTAACTTGTTAATGGTACGGAAGCTTATCAGGGCCTACAGTTGATAAGATGTTTTACGCTAAGTTAACTTTTTTTATTCGCATTGATAAGATGTTTTCGAATGTCTCAATAAAATTTACTGACAAAGATGAGAAGATTTAAGGCATTGCAACTGAACTTTTCTCGATATGCTCTCCGGCAAAAATCCTGTCGAAACTTCGTGATTTCACGACTATGCTGAAATATTTAGTAAGACGCAATGACGTTTACTCACATTGACAAATAGCTCAGGTAATTCAACAAAAGTTTTTTGGGAATGATTAAAAACTTATACGTATTACGTATTTATCATATAACGTCTTCACTTCATGGAATGTTTTTGGTCAAAACAAGAAGAAACAAGTTGACGTGACGTGAAACTTGTACTTACGTGGGGGCCCTGATAAGCTTCGGTACTCGATTCAAATGTCATTATTTCTCTAAAAAAGTTAAACGTTTCACCGCAATGTTATAACTATAAGCTTTAAATACGTTTGTTTGAATAGCGTTTTTCGCACAGACGTTGAATGTCTGACGAGCGTCGTTCAAATCAGTAATTGAAAATTGCGTTTTTTATACATTTTAAGGCATCTTGAAAAGAAAATGTGTTAGTTTCTAATGAATATGCTATTTATCACACATAGAAGTGAAAAAATATTCACATTTTCACACGTGCTATATTGCAATTTTCTGACTTCTCTGTGTAATAGCATATTTACTCAAAATTAACAATAAATCGTCTATACATCAATGTTTATTGATCTATTATAAATATGAAAACATGTCAATATAAAAGCATTTACTGACCTGACTTGGGATTAGCATTTGTGCGTTGTATCTAGGATTTGCTTGTAAAAGGCGATTCTCCAGCTCTGTTAACAGATGGTCAAGAAAAGGGTAATACATATTAATTTTCCAGAATTGCGATGATGTATCACTTGGGCCATTTGGGCGATTTCTCTGACGTCCGACGTTTCTTGGAATGCAGGGATCGACTCCTACATTCGAAGCAAGATCCACAGCTTTCTGGTACAAAGAATCCCAAACAGCAGTGTCGCCCCTTTCATTCTGTAAGATAATTCGAAAATATCAAAGCGTCACAATTATGTCTATAAGAAAGATATCTAGAGCGTTTATAAAATATTGATCGTTCTGTTGAGGCTCAGTGCAAACTACCTAACCTGAAATATTCTCCATACAAGTGAAAAGTCTTTGCTGTACCTAATTACGGTTTTAACACCGTTAAAGTAAATTACGTTTGATTCATATTTATTTCATGCTGTCCAGAGGTTTACTGTAATATATCAGATGATTATGAGAACATAAACCACAAATATAATTTTCACTGAAGCCGGACAAGACCTGAATGCAGATGAAAAGAATATCATGCGTAAATGGAATGACTGGCAAAAAATGCCGTCATACATATACATTTTGCCTAAATAAAGGAAAAGAAAGTTGATGTCATCATACATCATGTTAAAAATTTAATAAACTTAGAGAAATTTAACAGAGCTATATTACAAAAGCATGATTATTTGTTTTAATTATAAGATTGAAATATATTTCATTCGGGAACACCAGCGTATTCTATTTTCACTCGTGGCTACGCGACTCGTGAATATATTGCATCTGGTGTTCACTCAGGTTTGTGCAAAACAAACATATACCGGTATATCCTTTATGTAATACAAAGTGGGACATAAAAAATCAATCCTCATGACTATATCTACACCTTCACATGTAAATGAGTCTATTTTATCATAAGAAATATAATCCGTTCTGATAAAAACATTTGACTTCATAAGTTCTTGCTGTATTTGTGAACATAGGTGTACATGTGAGCTATGTAGATCTCATACAGTATAAAGAAAGAAAACATTTCTATTTATAAATCGTATCACTTAAATTTTTTGTATCATTAAGAATATGAATAAAATGACCAACTTGCCTTCAATGTAGCAATCACCACTCTAGTTTCTGTGGCAGCTCTTAAGAGGTCACAGGCTTTCTGCTGTAGCATGGTTGATAGTCCAACAAGTGCAGCAAGAACATGCTCCGCTGTTACAAGGGTGATTATAAAATCAAACTTTAGCACGGATAGACTATATGCAGCTGCCTTCGTGTCGCCATTCGCACCCAGGTCCTCCAGTGATGTTACTACAGTTCTTAAACAAAATTGAATGTGAATCAAACATATATAAATATATATAAAATAATTAAATGCGTAAATATTTCATCATTTAATACACACATGTTTTATTTCAATAGATATGTGTTTAATGTAAGACATTTGTCATTAAAGCATCTCGGCAAAGAATTCATAATTTATGCTTATATTGAATGTATCAAACACAGTGATACCTGTATGAGCATAAAAACGTGTGAAGAGCATCGGCCCTAGCTGCCCAACGTGTCTCACATAACGACTGAAGCTTCTGTCGCTCTTCCATTTCTTCACGGCTGGTGGGGTCACATCCGAGAGTTTCTTGAAAATTTAGCAAACGTTTTGCGGACATGTTAAAAGCAAACGCTACTGTCTGCACCGTGGCCATCATATTTCTAACATACGTGCAGTTGGATGCGTGGACAATTGCTAAGTTCAAGCAATGGGCCTTGCAATGGGTATAAACTGCCTCAGGATATTGTTGGCGGATCCTGGCTTGGACACCTCTATATAACCCGGACATATTTGAGGCCCCGTCGTATCCCTGACCCCTTATATAGTCCATCTGTACTCCTGTATGAATAAAGAAGTAATCATATCATTACAATTATAATAACCTTGATTATTATTATCAACATTATCATCCTTATTTCAGCCTTAATATTCATCATCATCATTATCATCATCATCATCATCAACATCATCATCATTATTATTATTATTATTATTATTCATTTAAACAGCATTTTAAAGAGATTTTCTATAAACTGTTAAAAACTGTTCTTTTAATATCTTTGTTTTATATTGCATACAATAATATACTATAAAATGTAAAAAATGTACAAAAGAGATTTGTTAAAACAGGTTGAGTGAAAGGACCCCCCCCCCCGAAAAAATATCTGCATTGTAAAGATGCCAAACTTTTATTAATTTGTAAATCAAAGTAGGCACGGAAATTAATATTTTCAGTTTTAAATTGTGTTTAAACATGGATCTCAGAAAGTTATTTTAGATACTAAACTGTCGTAAATAAAGATATAATGTTATTTATTCAGTTTATTGTGTCAAATTTCTCAATCATTACCTAAACATCTGAGGTTTTCAAGAAAGGCGTTAGCCAATGCCTCCCCCGTGGTACTCTTGCACTCGGAGAAACCAAGGAATTCTTCCCTGATCTCGCTGCCCTTCAGATATCGCACACAAAGAGCCATTTGCTCCATTGTAGCGCAGTCTGTTGCCTCGTCTGCTATCAGGCTGAACATTTGAGACTGATTACATTCGGTGACGATTTCATCAGAAATAAGTTTGCCACATATGGCAATTATCTCGTTCTGAATCTTTGGAGAAGTGTAGCGCGTCCTTGGGTCTCTATTTTCCAGATGGTCTTTCAGAACTGGATTATTTTTAGCCTGAAATTCTAGTAGTGCTTGAAAGTTCCCCTTTCTGTCAGAATCAGCATCTTCGCGGTGACCACGGATTGGAATGTTTTGCTTTCCACAAAGCATAAGGGTATCGACAATCAGTGCCATAATTTTTCGGTTTTTCTCAACCAAAGCATTATATGCTGAGGATATACTGCACTCAATATCCTTTTGTTGTCGATTCTGTATCGCTACAAAGTTTTCTGCAGCAATTGAACTAGAGATATGAATATCAGATTTCCCGTGCTTATCTAAAATCTTTTTTATGTTACTCCAGTCTGTAACTACAGTTGTTGTCAGTGCCTTGCTGCGGGGATCAGAACCAGAAAATAGAAAACACGGGGCACAAAAGACCCCATCCAGCTTTACAGAATACCTCAGCCAGCTATAAGACGTAAACCAAGCCGGTTGTGGCGTCCTAAATCTTCCACTAGCATACCTGAATGTTAAAAAATTATTGAGTGTAAAAATTTTTACCGAATTATAAAAAAAAGACAAGAATGTCATTGAAAATTAAAATTATCATATTTAGATCTAGATTCTACTTATGCAAAATATAAAAAAAAATATATAGATTTCTAATAAAGAAAAAAAAATCACGCTGAAAGGTTTTGAACCGACAGCTCAATTCTTCGAAACCACCGAGCGGCATCCGCTCTAACCACTGAGCTATATAGCCAATATAAATTTATAGGTTGATATTAAGTATATAATATTATAAAGTCGTCAGATGACATTAAACTATTCAGCCGTATGTTAATTTAATTGTTCTCCATACGCTAATCATTTAAATCTCAAATGAATATTTTTACGCGATAATTTGAATAAAGCTACTTTTTGATTATTTATAGATTCTAATTATAGGTAGAATGAGAAGCTAGAATCTACCTTGATGGGAATTTAAAGGCCTGCACATCATTCCATGGTTGAGTCAAAAGAACGAGCTTCTTGTTAACTTCTTTGAAGCTTTCTCCATCTCCAAAAGGATCAGGATAGGGCGGAATGAAATCTCCATCTTTAAAAGACATTTTAAAATTCCCGCCTTGAAAACTTGTAGCGCTAAACATTCATTCGGATCCCGAATAGAAACAACGATAAAAACCATCTTCGCTAGAGTTGCTTCCCGTTGACAAAGTAGAACTGCCGAGTACCGTATTTACGGTATTAGGCTACTTGAAATCTATACGTTTATTTCCATGTCTTTGTACATTACTTCACAGGATCGATCTAGTCAGTTTTGAGCTTAAATTTCAAGGGACCTACACTATGCCCCTTGATTTTTATTCCATTTTTGGAATTTCTAACTTTATCAATTTTTTGAATTTTGCTTGAATTTATACGCCCTGGCGTATTGGCGTATCGGTAGGTACGCCCCTGACCTCAAGTAACAGAATATTTAGGAGGGATGATAATAGTTTGACTGTAAGAATAGCTCTTATTTGCATTAGGGAATATTAACATTACAAATAAGTTAGAGGTAAAAACTATTGATCACTCTTTAAGTTTAGTGAAAAAATAAAATTTTCTTTCCATAATAATTAAGGTTGCTGACATTTAAATTCTGAGCATTGATATAAATGAAAAAAAATATATACATCAATACTGTCATAATAATTAATATACATGTAATGTTCACTTTTGTTTCTACATGTAAATCATACTTTTTACATTGGTGAAAAAATCACTTCCTTATTTATATTGTCTCCTAACAGAATTGATACAGAAAACAAGAGATGCCAGTAGGATAGTATGCTCTACTAATCTCAGTGCTTGATAGTAAAACCAGAGCCTGGATAATGAAGAATTTTCTAAAGTCAAAAAGGGCAATAATTCAAGTTAAAATCCATAATAGGGTCATGGGCCTTGAACAGTGACATCTGGTGCTCTCAAATAAGTGTTTGAAGTTTAACCCTTTACTACATATAGACGTGTTTTGATGGCATTTTGACCCCCCCCCCCCTTTTTTTTTGAGGCCTCAAACAGTGAAAAAATACCCTATTTAGGCCCCAAACACTGTTTTTCGTTGGAAAATGTTGTTAAAAAGTGATAATTTTTTTCGACGCTGACCCCTATCAAAAAGGTATATCAGGGGGTTGCCAGAAGGGGGATGTGCCCTCTTCTGTTTTGGGGGTTTGAAGGGGGGTGGTAGTCCCCCACATCGCCAAGAAAGTTTTGGACTTGTGAGAGGCTAAAAATGACCACAGGTTGATCGTAAGGTAATGTGTAACCAAAGTTGAAAAGCCTTTGACTCTATCTCAATCTATTGAGAAGTTGCAGCACTTTGAAATCAATCTTGATGGAAATAATCAATGCAAAATAGTGATTTTTGGCAATTTTGAGATGTCCCCTTGTTGCCATGGTAACAGGAAAGTTAAGACTGAACATGTTGTTACAAAGGCAATGGTCCAGTCAATATTTGTGCCAAGTTTGATTAGTATTGAAGCATTTTCATATATTCATAGCAGTTTGAACTTGTAGCAGGAGGCTTTTCAATGAAAACGGCCATTTTTCACAATATGCTCTCATGAGGGAAAGGGTTAATGTTACATTTAATAAATTTTATAAAAACAGAAAGAGCGACATTTCATTAATAAATTGGGTTTCATATCAACTCCAGATCTTATTTTGGTGTCCAGACAACCAAAATGAGTTTTATAAGCATAAAAATCTGCAACCTCATTGTGGCAAAATTGGAAGTTCAATTTCTGTTTGCATAAGAAACTCCCCCCTTCGGATCATCCATACATCAATATTAAATCAACAAACATGATTATAAGTTCAACTGTATATTTCCACGTTTGTAACGGATGTTAATTAATCTTTTTTATGATAGAATTATTTTTTTCTGAATGCCAGGCCTAATGCACCGTGAAGGTTAAAGCGTGTTTGCACATGAAAATCTTATATTTGCTGTGTTCCGAATAACAACTATAACACTGTGACTTAGCGCATACACAAGCTGATTAAAGTCTTCATTTGCATGTTTTTAAAATTTGTATACGAACTTTAGTGTTACCATGAGGTTTTCCGCTAAAAATTGTAATTCATGAACAATTTTTGATGATATTTACAACAATACTGTTAAAAAGGTTAATGAAACTGTAGAATGCTTGGTTTTTAGGCCGAAGGCACATTTGGAGATAACGACTTGCATGCAAAAACATAACCAAAGTGTGGCAGGAACAGCAATGCCAACACTGACGTCTGAGTGAGTACAATAGCCCTCCCTATTCTTTAAACAGTCAAGTTAAAAATGTTCCCAGTCTTGGTTTAAGAAATCACAATCAGTGGCATATATCTATTGAGCTAACCAGGAAGGCTTATTTGATTTCAATGTTTATTTACCTTATAGAAAAGTGATAATCAATATATTAACTGATATACCTTTTGTATATCTTACATATCCTGTATTATAAATTACACTATTACAACTGACAATAAAAAAAAGGTTTCTGATAAAAATAAATAATGAGAAGAGGTCACATACACAGTAGATTCTAGATTAAAGTTTGATTGTTTACAAAAACTGTAAATAAACTTGATAAACAAAACTTCCCGCTGAGTTCTAAAAATAGAAGCAAAGTTCATTAAAAATGTAACATGGGTATAGAAGATTTCAAACTTTTAAATAACGATAGACAATAACTTATTCATTAAGGTTACATGGGTATAGATGTTTTCAAACTTCATCTATAAACAATAGCTTATGATGGACAAATCACTATTAAGTTATACATTGTAGTGTGTGTAGTATGATCATCCTAATAAATCTGCTTACTGCAAAACTTTAAAATATTATAAGGATATCGCTATTAACAAATTAATTTACACCCTTTGTATTTATAATGCACAGGTTAATAAGAATATTTTGAAATATTAAAAGATCAGACAACATGATACATTGGCAATTTGCATTCTAAGGATTACACATTATTTTTATGTTATTTAATAATTATACCTCCGCTAGGTTCTTTAGTAAAGAGAGCTTTATGGGATCCGCTAGAAATATGTGTAAACCTTCAAAATGATACAAGTCTGCTAATTTCACAAATCCCTATTGGATGGAAGAGAACAAGTTCTCAAGTTCATTACGCCAAAATGTGTCTAAATAAACACTTGGTTACATTTTTTTCCAGTCTTTTCAACTAGAGGTGTCATTGATAAGGATTTTTGTATCGATATATCGGTAATGAATTATCGGCGATACAGCGATTTATCGATTGCCAGGCTAAATTTTAGCTTTCAAGTCTTTTTAAATGTTTCCTAAGGACACTGACAAAGCAGTTATATATAGACAAATGCAAAAAAGATAAACTATGAAAACTGAACAATTTGTTTCTTTTTTTATACAGCTAAAAATGAAAACTAATGACTAGTAACTATACTATAAGCCTTTTCCATTTTACTTTTGTTGTTGTTGTTGCTATTACGTAGTTACTGATCATGCTAAATCCCGTCCATGCCGCTCTAATAAAGTCTGGTTTAATTGGCAAATTGTAGTGTTTAGAACCTGAATAATTATTAAAGTTTAACATTTTGTAATCATAATTTTTACAAAGAAACACTGACAATTTTTTCTTGGCATTTTCCCTTTTTAAAATCTGAATTGAGGGGTCTTGACATCCACTTAGCAGACGTGCAAGATTACAACGAAATTTGGCAGCATTCGTTAAAAACACTGGGAGGTAACTTTGGCATTGATTTCCGTTTTCACTTTTAGAAAAAAAATGTTTCTGGCATCCATAACTTTACATGTCGCTTTTATTTTGACGTTTTGCGACAGTAAACAGGTCTGTCAGTTCTATAAAACCTGTTCGCTGAAGTCTCTTTAGCTAAAAATATATGTGCATTGGATATCCGATATTTAAAAAATGGAATCGATATCAAATCGGATAACAAAGATCGCTGATACACCGATATCGATTGAATCGATGACACCCCTATTTTCAACCCACCATAGAATGATTACTGGTTGTTAAGGCACCTAGAAATATGTGAATTTATCCAGCATAACTTAAGACGCAACAAAAACCTATACTTAAAATAAAATGTATATTTCTACATACATTTTTTTAACTAAATCTATCTACATCACAGGTGTCAGATGTACATTTGTTCTTGGGTTAGGTTCTACATGTACATCACACAAATGGCACAAACGGGCAACTCAGTAGATCTCAGTAAAACCACTACCTTCTGTTAGCTAGCTGGATGGCTTCCTCACATGGGATTCAAATCCACAGCACTGAGAAAGTAGTTTAAAGTCAACTACCTTAACCACTTGGCAATTGACTTCTCATAAGTGAAACAAAATTTTGAATAAACATTATGCTGTAAAGCATATGATATTTATTGAATAAAACAGAACTTGTCATACATGTACCCTAAATGAAACTGAACACTATGATCAGTTGGTGTTTTGACTACATGGATGGAATGATACGGGGAAGTCAAAAGTAGGGTCCGATAAGCAGGCCCGACTTTTGCTTGCCCGGCTATAGACTACACATGTATATTTAAAAGGAAATCAAATAAAAAACAATCTAAAAATATACAGATTTCTATACCTATCAGTGAAATTTTCAGTGTCATATCTTGTAGGGTACCACCATTTGCATTAAACTCTATTATACGGGGAAGTCAAAGACCGGGCCTGCGAAGCGGGTCCGGGCTTTGGCTTGCCCGGCTATAGACTACATGTGTATATTTAAAAGAAAATGAAATGAAAAACAATTAAAAAATATACAGAATTCTATACCTATCAATGAAATTTTCAGTGTCAGTTCTAGTCGGGCGCCGCCATTTACAATGTAACTCAATGATAAAAGGCGGGGTATTCCGATAACGGAACAAATCTCAACTTTTCGGATAAATGATAATCGTCGAGTGTTCCGAGTGAAAACGGAAGCGGTGCATGTAATACTGAATGACAACTTTAAAACGGAAAGAATGAAAGGAATTTTTAACAACTTCCCCGTTCATAGGCTTTGCCTAATTTCATATTAATAGGTTGGGTATTCCCATAATGGAACAATCGCAACTTTTCGGCTCAATAATAACCGTCGTCGTCGAGGTGTTCCAAGTGAAAACAGAAGCGGTGCATGAAAAAAATAAATGACATCTTTAAAATGGAAAATGTGAAATAAAAATGAATTATTTTAAGCAACTTTCCAATTCCTTGGCTTTTCCTAAGTTCATATTAGATAGACTTACGTTATTTTTATCTTTGACAAAGTAGCTTCCACTGGATCCCTGGAAAATACGCACAGGATAATGACCAAATTCTATAGCGTCTTCAGCTTGTCTGACTATGTCCTGGAATATTGGATCATCTGGGAAGTTGTTTTCAAAATCACCATATTCCAACTCTAGTGATCTCGGTGCAAGTAGTGGGGAATTTTCACCGGTCCCTTCACCGGCCCGGGAGTCTCTAGTCGGAGAACGGGGAGAACGCTCATTTCGAGGGGCATACGCTACTTTCACATTTGTAACATCAGGTTGCGGACTAAAATCCATTTGATCGTCATCGGAAGGGATAACACAAGTTAGGGGACGGTCGATATTCATGTGATCCCGTGACTTGGCCAATTTGTCAAATCGCGAAACAACATAACTTTTAACCCGGAAGTAAACAGATAGTAATAATTCTAATACCAATCACGTATGATACCGTACACTATAATGGTTACGAAGTACTAAATTATTACACCAACCACTTGACTGTAGAACTTTTCATTAATCTTTAATATTATCAAAAATGCATGCAGCTTTATATCTCTGTAATAAAGTCTCTGCAAAAGTTAACTTAATAAATGCCGAAAAAGTTAATTAGATAATGCAAAGTAAATGATTATAAACATAGAATGTTTTACAAATCAGGGTCTTTCAAATTTCAATTTCTATTTGAAAGACCCTGTACAAATGGAGGTAATCAAAATATTAAATATTTTCTAAATTGGTAATTGTATTAAATTGATATCAGCTTTTAATCATTCAAATTTCATATAATACTTTGAATTTCACGTATTTTTAAGACCATTGATAATAAACTTGACGACTTTTACAGGGATCTCGGGTTTATTCACCTCTCTTTCACTGATAATATCAATTGTCTTTCCAGTGAGACTTTTAAAACCAAGGTCCCATATGTCAGTACTCTACAATGGGCATGTAAAAGAACCATGATTGGCCATGAAATTGGTGTATCATGCCCACCCCAAAAATAATGACTGACTTTTCAATGGTGTTGCAAAATGGGCAACCACACATGACAGTTATTTATAAAAAAAAAAATCAAATGATGAAAATGTTGAAAGAAAATATTTGCCTATTAGATACTCAAACCTTGATGGCTTCTAAAAACATGCCAGGCTTTAGGTGTAATTAATGGAAAGTTATGTAATTGTTGTTTATGAAAGTGAAAAGCAACATATTTAGTTGTGTCTTTGACAGCATAATGCTAAATATTTCAGAACACTGAATATTTGTAATATTGAAGATCAGTATATGAAATACAATAATAACTGAGTGCAGATAATGTTTGATTTTTTCCTACATTGTATGTGATGCTTTCTCTAGAAAATCTGCTTTGTACTTAATTTCAAAGCCAGCTTAACATAACGTTTGATACTATTTTACTTTACAACACCACGGAACATTTATCATTATAGCATTAACATCGCACAAACCTGTGTTTACCACGGTGGTGAACAGACTCGGACCTTTTATTATCACAGCCTCCTCCCAGCAAAGATCTTTTTGAATTAATGTCATCACAACAATGGACAGTGCTATTATTTAAATTCTGACTGATTTTGACATGACTTCACTTAATGCAAATTAAAATTCCACGGAATATTGACCTGTGTATCCTTCACATACACGCATGTACTAAAATAATCCGTATTTCTTGTACAATGACAAACTGAAAGAGGTAGCACATTAAGATTGAGGACTGTGCATCACTATCATGAAGTATAAATCATACATTACGACTTTTTTTGTCCGATTTTAACAAGGTCAGTAATTGCGGTGTATTTATTTTTTGTCAATTGTCAGAGTTGTTTCCCCTGGACCTTTAATAATTGTTTCCCGCAATACAGTAATATTTTAAGAATTGGACTTTTAATGAATTTCAGGTATCGGGATAATTTTTGTAAACAGGCTATGCCATGTTTTTATGGCAAAATGCCATAGAACTGCTTATGATAATGTGTATATAAAATATTTTCCCCACTAGAAGAATGGACATAACTTGTACTGGCGAATACCTCCAAATCCAAGCCGCCTAAGTAAATGCTGCTTTTAGAAAAAGTGAATATTACCTAATCTAAGTATAGTAGATCTATATGCACTGCACATTATGTTTAATTGCTTTAAAAGAAACATCCGTTGTATTCCAGACAAGTTCACCTTTGTCATCTGCAAGCAGAGGACGTGTAAATGTTTGATCCGCATGTCTTTCAAGTGAGATAATTTAATTGTTCAATGAATTGAGATATTGCGCTGGTAGCTGTGGAAGCATAAATACATTCGACCTTTCTTCATCACAATTCTGCTTTATTTAGTTGCGTCAGTTAAATTCTAAATTACGGCTGTGACCTTCTATCCTTATTTTGAGAACATACATGTACGCCGCTTGTCATAGACTTACACTGAATCGTCACATCGAGGGTACCATGATTACTGCCGTATATATACATTTGTAGATAATTCAGAATTTTACCATTAACATGATAATAATTCAGTCAGTGGCGGGGGAATAAGGAACAAGGCAAGAAAAAACACAGAAACAAAGAAATAGCATTCAAATAGCTTGGCTCAATCCTTGTAATATTTAAGCCCTTGTTTATGCAATGGGGGAAACATTTCACGAAGGATAAGTTGACACAGAACAAAGTATTGGTATAGAGTCCAGTAACAGTAGCAGTAGAAATAAGCAACTTCTATCAGTTATAACTGCAATAAATTGCGTAAGCTCATTTTTGATATGCTTCTGTGATATGTATATCAGAGAAGCAGCTACTGTTACTGGACTCTATACCAACTAATTACACTAGGCGTTGAGATATTATATATTATATACATGTACCCCAGTACCCAAAATTAAACAAATATGGGCAATATCTGTAGAAGCGAAATTCTGACCCTGAACAAAAACATCGCAGACAATAATATTTTGACTATATATACATGTATAGATGAATGGATTGGTGGGTGGGTGGATGAATGGGTGGATTCTAGGCTTGTTATGCACTGAGAGTTCGGACCCGGACATATGTCACCATTCATGAATAGTGGTTACGTCACATGTATAATGATTACGTCACATGTCTAAATATAGAACGTCAAACAGAAATTTTACATTCGGAACTGCCTCGGCTATTATCTATAATAACCTCGGAAACAATACGGATTGAAAGTAGTTCTACCACGTGGTTTAAGATGTATACAGAAACAGAGATAATGTAAAACGAATGTATATATTTGACATCTAATGTGTGTCCTTATCCGAAGACTGACGGAAAGGGCCGAGTAGTTGCGATTGAGAAATTTTATAGATTTCATTTCAGGGTTGTTATATTTTCTGGTCCTTCGGGATCATTGATGCCAACACTATAAAGTGTTGAGAATTGAGTACCGCTCAAGCCGGTGCTAGGGGACGTGAGGGATGTTGCACTTATTCATTATCCCTCATGTACAGACTCAATTAAACCGAGTCTGCAATTCTTATGTTAATTTGTTGTGATTAATGCTTCCGAGGGATCACTTTGTTTCCAGAATTTTATAGCATAATAACACACATTTTCGGGTTTTCTATGTTCAATAGGGAAAAATGTGGGTCGTGTTAGAATATAAAATAAGTAATAACTTACTTAGATTAACTGTTAGCTTAGATAATCGCAAATTACCTTCTAACACACAGTAGTGGTTGTAATAGTGAATGTTTTACTCTTTTTGTATGTCTAATTAATGTGCACGCGGCGTCTAGTAGATATGCATTCGTTCAGTCAGCAATTAGGAAAATTTTAGTCTTGTTTTTTGTTAATTTTTTTTGTTCTAACAAAATTACAGTTTTCAGATAAAAATAGCTTTTCTGATGATCAACATGTCCCCGATTGTCATGGATACAAAAGTGATCAATTTATTCTAATATTTACTACAAGGTCAAGTTCTTTGATTCTTATCAGTCGGTAATTAAACTGTGACTGTTTTCTAACTTGTAAAGATCCGGCAATTACCAAAGGACTGTTTGTATCAACCCTGCCGTCACTATTGTTCCTCCGGCAGTGATGTAACTTTTCTCTGCCGTCACTATTGTCCTTCCGGCAGTGATGTAACTTTTTCCTAGCACTATAAAAGGGCTGGGGAATCCATTTTAGTGGTCTTCTTAATTTTAGGAATCGGGTATGGGAAGTTTTCAGAAAGATAACTTTTAAACTTAGAGAAATGGGAATTTAAGGGTATGAAAGTTTGGAATGTTTCCTCCAACATGTAAATAATGTATATATTTGTGTATATTGGATTTATCTTGTATATAATCTGAAATAAAAAGTAGCTTAGAAGAAAAATGATTTATTTATTGTGTTATGCTACAGATTGTGTAAATAGTAACTGCTCAAATGTTGAGCTGGTGGCAGCAAATTCTATATGACCAGTTTTATAAAGGTCTAATAAGAGGCCCGACTTAAAACGGTTACACTGGTGGCAGCGGTGGGATTTTGTGGACTTTTAACATGCTTCTAAAGAAGTGGTGGAATAAAAATGTACAGTGTTTTTTTATGACAAATTATAATTCTGGTGGAAAATAAATGGGATTTTCATAAGTGAAAAGAAATAAAAATTAAAAAAAATGAGTGATCCAAAAAGGAAGGTTAATTCATTTGCAGAAATATACAGAAACAGTCCACCTCCAAGAAAACAGTACACCAGGAAATTAACCAAGCCTCTAACATCAGAAATCATGTTTGAAAATATATTGTTCATGAAACCTGTTGGGAAGTCTACAGATCTAGTTCATCAAACCTTCCCTTTGCCTTCAAGGAAGAAGAATATTGGGATTAATAATAAAACAAAAATTAAATGTGCCGGTGTATTATTAGGATTAAAGGTGTTTTAAACCGTTACAATAGATACTAGTAGCCCGATGACCAGGGGTAATAGCTGTAAAGTCGGCGAACGTGCGTATGCATGAAACTTAATTAGACTATAAAATGCAATTACTTACTTTTTTACTTTACAGTGCGCCCTTGGTAGCATCTAAGGTTTTCCATGTAATAATACACACCGTATTACCGGCGGCAGTGATGGCAGATCACTGCAGTGATGGCAGATATCTGAAAATTACCGATCGATACAGGTAGGTTATAAATTTGGTTGGTTTAATTATATTACACAAATACGGCCCATTTCATTGCTATAAAACTATTGTCCATTGAATGGAAATACTGTAAGGTAATTTTGGACTCGTTTTTTCCTGTTTTAAGACTATTTTGAGCAGGTTAAAAGTGACAGCCTCGGAAAAATCCGTGAAAATGTCTGTTTTCTGTTCAAAATATCTCAAGTTTTAAGTAAATGGCAGGATTTCCTGTTATCAACATAGACGTTCATCCATTGTGGTCACGCAAGCCGTATATTTA